TTTGATACGAAGTTAGAGAAAGAGAGAGATAAAGAAAGAGAGAGAGAGAGATCGTGTTTAAAGTAACCTCTCGAAAGAAGTTCCCGTTTTTCTTTGTGCATGCCCGGTGATAAGTTAAGCAAGATAGTCCATTACTTTTATTGCACGACCATCTGTGCGTTACCAGAATTACCGTGAACTATTTGTCCTCGTTCGCGACAAAGCACTTCGCTGTTTTTCCAAAACAGCATCATCCCCCCCTCTCTATTCCTCTCACGAGACACGAAAGGAAGTTGTACATCCTTCTCGAAAGGAAACTCACGTTTCTCAACAATCAGGGGAACGTCGAGGGAGAGCCGATCGAACCGCTATTCAAAGCCCGACGACCGATGATTAAAATCTGAAATTACCGTGACAAACTCGAGGATCCCGATGACGACCATCCAATCCATCCATCCATCCATCCATCTATCCATCCATCAATCCGCGGAGAGGAATCGGTGCGGGCGAACCGATTCTGTCGACGTCTAATTACGCACTGATTTCGCTTACCCTTCTCATTTTCGTACGGTCGTCACCACGTTAACTAACTAACGTTCCTACGGGTTGTAGTAGCTGCGCAACTTTTGAGGGGAGGGGAAGAGAGAGAGAGAGAGAGAGAGAGAGAGAGAGGAACAAACCACACAGCGAAACCGACCCTCCCCTGCCTAAACTTTGCCCAGACTCCTCGAGACACCCCTTTTTCGCCTAGCTAAGTCAAATCGACCGAACGTGCTCATCGGCCCCTGTAATCGAGACGCGAATCTTCCTATCCCTGCCACGGGTTCAAATGGCGAAGCGGCGTTAATAAACGCCACGTCTACGGGGCGTTTGAAATATCGATAATCATTCGAAATTTTTTTATCCCCTATGGGGATCGAAGCGAAGAGAGAACGAGGAGAGGAAAGAGACGCGAACGTAAAGAGGTACACGAGTTAATAAGTGTTAAAAGTGCAAATAAGTAAACCGTTAACGACCTGCGCTTAGCAGCCGTTTCTCGCAAGATTCTCTCAATAAGTATTTACAGACTCCACCTTAAAACGTAGCCGCACGGCTACACGCGTGCACTTTCTAATTATATAGTATCTTCCCTTCCATCAGCTGGAACAGTCGTTGACTGACCGAGAAACTCGCGAGGATAAAAAAAAAAAAAAAAAGAGAAGGCGGAGGCAAAAGTGGAGGAAAACGCTGCTCTCTCGGGATGGAACTCAGGAGAAGAGAAGAGAAGGGAAGGGCGTGTGTTCACCCATTATAAACCGCGACACGTTGCGCGATTCATCCGCGCTATTGCAAAACGAGAAAATCGGGAAGGGACGCGCCCGTTTATCCCTTCGAAAACAATCCCTTTTTCGACGCGATCTTTCGACGGGATGCCCGTTGAAAAGAAAAAAAAAAAAAAAGAAAGAAAAGAGAGGTAAAGGCGAAAGAAGTAGTCAGAAACGGAGATCGTTTCGCTGTGTGGAACGAAAGAAACGAAGTTCGGGAAAGAAAAAGAAAGCGCGCGCGCGCGCGGTACGTGGAGAACGCGTATGGAGAAGGGGGAGGGGGAGGAGGGAGGAGGGGGGTGGTGGCTGTATAATAACGCGAAAGTTAGTAGAACGCGGGCTACGAGAGGAAGAAAACGCGCGCGCGCACGTTGCGGCGATATGTTTGCAAAAAGGGTGATAGCTGACAAGTGTGCGTGCGTGTGTGGTGCATAGCGCAATAGAAGAGTTGCCGGTTGGCACAACGCTGCCCGTGCAACAACCTCGCAGTTCACCGGCTACGCCTGCAGCAGCAGCTTGTTCGTGTACGCCACGCGAACATACACCATGCACTTTCCTATTTTGCGTTGCAGTAGCCAGTAGACCGGTTGATTTCGATAACGGTAACGCGAGCCGATCGTTCTCTCAATTTTGTTGGCCGGACGATTGCCACCGGACCCCTCGGTAAACACCGATCGAGTGGGATCGAGAGCCTTCCGAGTGATCGGGGAGGAGAGCGTCTAACAGAGACCCGACTTTTTCTACTTACGCGCCAACCTGAATATGCGAAGTGGAATAATCGTATGAGTGGTCGGTCTCGTTTCGAACGAGGGAACACCGAACGAAACTCGGAACGTACCGGTACTCCTAGAAGTTCAAACACCAACTACTCGAGCTAAGACAAGCGGTCGTCTCTTTCGAGATTAAACGCCTACACTAAAAACCACTCGGCGAACAAAACTCTATGCTAGTTGTCGGGGGGGGGGGAAAAAAGAAGGTACATTGTATCGAGTAGTAACGATGAGTTTATGCGAGAATTACTTTTAAAAATAACAACAGGAAAATGGAGAGTTTTTTTTTTTTTTTCTTTTCTTTGAAAACAAAAGAAATTCAGAAATGTTTCGAATTATTACTCGTTCGACGATTAAATTCCTTTTTTATATCTGGATCTATCATAGGTTTCGAATCTTGAGTTCTTCAGTTTGAAAGTAACCGCTTCGCAACGTAAAGAATTCGATTCTGTTAATTGTTCGAATCTACTCGCGATGTGCTCGGCCCCATCGCTACCGCTCCCATATTATAGACGAAGTAATGGTAATCGATAGGAGATCAGCATAGGAGATGGTGGCAAAGGGTTATCCAATAGCCAAGTGAAAAAATACGATCGTGATTTCGAGAAGAACGGGTTTTCCAGAGTTCCCGATCTCTTCGTACAACATCGCTCCCGTTCCGCGCATAATGCTCGCGTATAAACCTATCCTCGCGATGGAGCCGTGAGAAAGGACACGGAAGATCGACGATCGCTTGCAAACATCGAGAAGAGTTGCGGAAATTTTCGCACGACCCTGATATTTTACGAGCCGAGTTCTGTGCACGTGATCCATACCGCGCCCATGTACCATCCGCATGATTCTTTTCTTTTTTCTTTTTCCTTCTTTTCTTTTTTTTCCCCCCCTCTCCTCTAACCGTTGTTCCGTTTCACCGTCGAGCTCGCGAATTTTCTCTCGAGAAAATCGCACGAGAGAG